AGGCCAAGATATTCGCTCTGCTCTTCAAACCTTATTCCAAAGTATATCAAATGCTGAAGTTGGCCAATGTCAAAGGAGAGGGAAATCTGAAATTGTGGGGCACATGCACAAACACATATATACATGCATGGCCAAGCAACCCTTTTGCTCCCAAGGGCACATTGGGTGGTGGGGACTCAGCACTCATAGATGTAGGCAGTACAGACATATAAAAGCACACACCTGCTCACCCTCGCAGACACACACACACACACAGAGAGAGAAACAAGGGCAGGTGTGCAATGGGCAGGGATATTTTGTGCCTTCCCTGACGACTGGTGCTGGGAAGAGTTGAGGAGTGTGCTGATCCTACCAGCAATCCCATCGCGTATCTCCCCCTACTCCTCAGCTGATTGGTGCTAGCAATTGCACTTCTCTCAGCCTGTTTGGTGGGCTGAGGAGAGCATGGTTGCAATGAGAAGGAAGACACAAGGAGAGAGTCATTCCCATTTAACTTCCTAACCATGTAAATCACGTTCCCACAGTCAGCCCTGTAGGGTTCAGCTGCCTTGCTGTAATGAGAAGTGAGAAACTGATGGTGTAGTTCTGGATACTTACTGATCTGACAGTGATTACAATAAATGTACAGTAATTGCAATTTATGAATGTTTCAGAAAAGCCAGCAACCAGTAACTGTTAAAAAAAAACCATCCCAGATTGTTTTGGTTTTTGTAGTGATCATCTGTGCAAACCCACATATGTGTGCTGTGCAAGGAAGATTGTTTGCGGATTTCTAGAGCTAGGTTAGCAGTTTGACTGGAAACCCAACTCCATGCATATGCTCAAGGGGGGGGGGCATGGTTCCTGTCTTCCTGCTCAGTTCCTAACAGACTGTAGCCCTGGCTATATATGCAAACACAGAGCAAGAGCAGGACAACAACGCCACCTGCAGCAGGAAAGGAGGGCTTCCAACCGGATGATCAATACTTACAACAAGCCCACCCAGTCTTCAGCTGGCTGCAGAGTTCCCAGTCAGGCTCTCCTTATGATGTCTGTTGTACAGCAAGCAGGTGCAGTTTGGGGGGAACAGCCTCCTGGGCCAAACTGGGACGTATGCCAAGTCTAATTTGGCCCATTGGCCAGAAGCTCTCCATCCCTGGGCTTGAAGTTCTAGCCATGGAGTCTGAATTTATTTATTTATTACACAGAGTCACAGTCTAAATATGGAATGTAGGAGGGTAGCAGACTGTCAAAGCAGTCTTTACAAAGTGCCATGAAGGCTGCTCCTGGGACTGCCAGGGTGCAGAAATATACAATGTTTGATTCAACACTTCTGAAAACATAAGATTTGCTGCCTTTATCTGTCCCCACCCTTAGGGGAAACACACAGGTTCCTTGGTAGGTGGAAAACAGATGCAAAGAGGAACTGTGCAGTTTTTATATTAATAAAGCTGGGCATTAATTTTAGGTGATGTATTGGATTAAAAAAGGTCAGTGGAAGCCAAATTGGAAGCCAAACCAGATCGCTTTGCCTAGTGGCTGAAGGAAATGCTCCCTTGGATAATCAAGTTCCATCATAAGATAGAACAAGATACTCTTTGCCCATTTGGGGATCCTGCTGTTGAACAACTAAACGCAGTATCCAAGTCACACCAAAAAACATCATCTTACATCATCATATAAAGAGACTCAGCAGAGGAATATGTAAGTACCATGTTACAGACTGTAAAACAACTACATGGTATTGTGGAAGAAATCAAGGGCTAACACACAGTAGCATTAATATGCTATGTCTCTGACACATTACTCTCACATCACTGCTTACCAGTGTGCTCCCACTACTAGTTTCTGAAGCTGCATTCACACCATGTTAGCCACAGTCCATAGCGATCCTGTCGTTTCATGACAAATACTGCTGTGTGGTGCATCCCCCCCCCCAATCAGCCACAGTTCAAGTAGAAAACTCAGACCACATCCCTTTCATATTTAAGAATGGTGTGATCATTTGAGACAGCCATCATGCATGTGCAGATTGGTGTGCACACACAGATGACAGCTTTGTGAATGGAAATTCAAGGTGGGCTGTTGCAGAGGCCCCCATGACCCTCTACAACACTGGAAATGTGTCTGGAAATGCGGCAGGGAAAAACTATTTTGCTGTGTTTTAAGCTCCTAATGTGAACATGCCCTCCGTGCCATATAGTGTTCTCATTATCATCCTTGAGGCCAGAGCTGATCTCGGCAGATTAAGAGATAAAGCAGGAGGAGAAACCAGGGTGTGTGCTTTTGCCGCCAGAAAGCAGAGACACCTGAAAAAGAACTATTTAATTTGGAAAACTGAGCAGCATAAACATCTAAACAGACAAAGAAGAAGTCAAGGTTGTAACAGATGGGTCCCCATATGAAGTATACTATAGGATGGGGGGGCATCTACAAGCTGCATAACATAACAAGCAGCCAGGTATTGACTTCAGCACAAAGGACAAGATTCTTCTAGCAGATGGAAAATCATAATCACAGAGATTATGTTGCAACACACCATCAAAGTGGACAGATCAGATTTTCATGAAATATGTCTTCTTTGTCCCAGGCTAAGAGGGAAACCCTTGTTAGCACCCTTGAGGGAAATGCCTTGTCAGCAACTGTCTCATAGTGTACTCGCTCCCATATAACTGGACTCAAAAGGTGTGTGCTACTTGTTGGATCAGTGCCTTAGCTTGCTTAGCCAGGCTGTTGAGACTCTTGATCCTTTTTGCCTATGTACCATCATGGGTGCAGCCAGGATTTAGTTTTTTGGGGGGAGGCATTATCCTGGGGGGCAGAACTGAGTTATCTGTGATGGAACTGGTCAGTTAGTTAAGATGGGGGGACAACTGCCCCCCTGGCTACCATACTGATTTCAGCATTAAGTATTTTGGCAGGAGCTATACTCTGAGTTCTTCACGCTCCAGTGAGAGTCAGGACAGCTACCACCAATCTTTCAGTATAATTCCTAAAAAAATTGCCCTCCCTAGTTAGGTGCTTTTGCCTCCATCATTATTAATTTTCAGGATGAACTTGTAAACAGCCTTGGCAGCTGAAGAAAAAGTGACTGAGATGCAGTGGAAAAAGTGATATAGAGAATAATCCATGTGAAATTGCAACGGTCAGTAATTAAAGATAAAAAGGTAAACGGGCTATGTGGGTACTGATTGGGCTGGAGTTGCCTCCAATAGTCCACCACCCTAGAAGCAAGGGGGAAAGACCTAATGAACGCCTGCCTAGTTTGAGCTCTGAGAATGCAGCCACTGTGGGGGTGCAGGAACCACCTTGAGCATAGCTGAGCATGGCTTGGGCTTCCCACCAAAGTGTTAGCCTAGCTCTATGAAGTTCTGGTGACATCATATGCAGGCACAGAGATAATATGTGAAACTGCTCAGAGGCCATGAAGAAGAACGAGAGGAAGAGCTGTTTCTCTCTTTATAAACCCAGTTCTTAAAGGAATATAAGACGAACATAAAAGAAAAAACTCATGCTGACTTTTAAAAATTTGCTCTTTAAGAACAACAATGTTATAAAAGAAAAAGAAAAAACCACAAGAGCTTTTTTTATAAGCCAAAAATGAGACACTTTAAATAAAGAAGCATTGAAAGGATATATACACATATTGGCAACCAAATGTGACTAAGCATGAGAGCAAAACATTCACACTGAGAAGCTGAATTGCAGGATCTGTCCATCCTTTAAGTGCAGTTATTTCTAGCAGGGGTTATAAAGTGCTGGTGAGCATAGAACAATTTGGGTGTTAAGAAAACTGAAAGAGAAAGTCCCCAGTACTGGACTTCATGTATAATATATTATTAGATATGTATACATACCATCATACATAATGGTATCTGTTTGCCATTCAAAGTTGCTTAAAATAAAGCTGGGTTGAAATAGAAGGTACAAAATCCCAACCTTCGCCTGTCTGCAGTGATTTTTCACACCCCTTTGAAAAAGCAGGTGGAACTGTTTGTGAAAGGAGGGGTGTCAAGGGAAGAGGCAGCAGCAGCACCCCCCTGACAAGACAATACGGCTGACATCCAGCCAGGCCTAATTGACTGGTTGGGGCCAAATGTAGATCACGTGCCCATTGATATGTGCATCCAAATCATATTCATTCATTTGATTTGATTTTTATAATTTCTGTCCTGCCACATGAAATATAATTAAAAACAGCACTATTACAGAAAAAGGAACCAAGAAAAAACACAGAGCAGTAATAGGAGCCAGGTTTAAGCTTTGCTTGAAAATACAACAATGAGAAGCCTTGTGTGATTTAAATGGTCTTTCTCTAGTGCCCGAAAGACACCAGGAAGGCATTTCAAAACTGAGAAGCCACAACTGAAAAAGCCCTTTCACGTGTTCACAACCATCTGATGTCTAGACTGAAGTCACTGGTGTGTGTGGGTGGGTGTGAAATGAAACTCAGAAAGGCCTGGGAAACAAGGTTTTTAGCCACTGGGCTTATGTGGGAGGTGTCAGTTCTTAAGGCAGTCTGGTTCCAAGCTGTTTAACGCATCGGAGGGTGCATCTCACTGAAAGTAACGCAGTGCAGATGAATCCCATACTCAGATCCAAATACAAATGCCGTTTTGTGCTGCATTACATTCAGTGGAATATGCATCCTTATCCATATTGTGCCCCAACTAGTCATGCAAAGCTACATGAGGTTTGAGCTAGATAATTGTGAAAGTCTTGCTAGGGGGGACAAAACCATCCCATCACGGCATCGGCCCAGATGTTTCAGCATAGTACTGCCATAAACTAAAGAAAAGACCATGGCCACGTGCAGTTATTAGAAATGGCTAAAGTTGTGGAGATGTTGCCCCTTACACTGGATAAGATGGGATTGCACCTCTATGCTACAGATATCAAGTGCGTATCTGTATCTTTCTTCATGGCTGCAGACTGTGGAAGGAGCAGGAAGGTTCTCTGGCAACCACGGCCATAGTCATGTTAATGTTAAATGCAGTTTTTCAGTTGCATTTTCTACTTACAGAAAACTGTGGTAGTGTTGGAAAAGGATCGAAAAAGGGTTTGGATGTAGCAGCAGGGAATGCCTTTATCTTTAAGGAAGATAAAGAGAAAGATGTTACTTTCAGAACACACAAAGAAAAAAAATGAAGCGAAGCACTGCAAGCTCCAGCATTATGTCCGACATACCAGAATGGTTTATAACAGCACACAAATTAACTCTCACACCCTGACACACATGCAAAAGCTAAGGGTGGGGATTCAGAGGTTCACAGAAAGAGAAGGTGGGCTGCTTTTATTCATGCAACCTGTTTGAGAATCACTCTTGAAGTACACATTATATAGGCCACAATTGTAAACAGTTTTGATCTGCTCAAGAATAATAACACTGTTTTAACATACCAGGAAGGTCTGCAAATCCTGTCATGCTACAAACCTGTTTTCACTTATTTTAGTTAGGAAAAAAAGAGTGGAGAAGGCAGGTTCTCATAATGCTAGAACTCCTGGCTGAATGAAGCTGAATGTTGGGAGGTTCGGGGTGGATAAAAGAAAAGCACTTATTCACACAGCACAGAGTTAAACTATGGAACTCGCTTCCACAACAGGCAGGGACGACCACCAACCTAGATGGCTTTAAAAATGGATTAGATAAACTCATGGAGGAGGAGAGGGCTCTCGATGGCTCCCAGCCACAGGGGCCGGACTCTGCCTCTGAATCCCAGCTGCTAGAAACCACAGTAGGAGACAGCTGCTCTTGTGCTCGTGTTCCACATGCAGGTTTCCCACAGCTTCTGGTTGGTCATTGTGAGAACAGGATGCTGGACTAGGTGGGCCAGTAGCCAGGCCCTGCAGGTCCTCTTCTTCTATTCTTATGAGTCAGACCTGGAATGGTCCCTTCTCATAAGAGGAAAAGTGAGGGAAAGACTTACAAATGCCCATACCTAGCATTTACCATTGTGGTGTTACAAATACATTCCTTTTCAGTGTTTTGTACTGTAACAAATGAGTTCAACCTCAGCCAAACTATAAGATTTATATATCAAAGCTCCTTGACCAGAACATGCAGGATTGAGTCTAAGAGCCATAAATCCAGAAAAAGGATGCAGTTGGCAGATTTATATATGAACTCCACCCTCAGCTGAAAATACAGGTTAACACACGAAAAAGTGACTCAACACTTTGCTTCAAAGATGGAGAACCTGAGCCCTCCAGATAGCATTGGACTCCAACTCCCATCAACCCCAGTAGACATGGCCAGTGGTCAGGGAAGAGGAGAATTCTATTCGATCAAAATTTGGAGGGACACAGGTTTGCCTGGCAATTTTGTTTGCCATGAGAACACTGTTGCTATCCCAGTGTTTCCTCAAGTATATAATCTCTGTGCAAGTGCTTAAACAACCCTGATTGGAATGAGGTTCCTAGGTGTATACACACAGAGACTTTATCAACATAAATGGTTATTCAGGCTTTGCATGTTTGCTGTAGGAAACAAGTGTGTCCCTGCCCACAGCAAACATAAAGATCTTGTGAAAGCATTTTTTATTTTTTTTTACACTAGGTTAAGTGCTGTGAGAGGCCCTTCTTAATATTACCTTCAGCCTAACTTCAACTCAATGCCAACACTTCTTTGGGCACACAGAGATGCCCCTATGCCCCTACCTTGGTGCAGATCACCTATTGGGATTAAGAAGGATACTAAATAGGGGCGGGCATCAACCATTTCAATGCTTCAGGGGGGAAAGCAAGATTCAGCTCAAAGCACTTTGGAGGTTGTTCGATTCAGCTCATGTGGAAACAAACCTTTGTTTCTTCCCCATTAACTATTATGGAAAAATAAAAAATGACTTATTGCCAGAACTGGATCAGATTTGCAAGCATATTAGTGCCTCCTGAGTGGATATCTGCCAAATTACAAATAGGTCCATGGGTGTGTGTGTTTTTTGCAGTGGGCACTTTTATATTTATGACTTAAAAGGAACTGTCCTATAACTTTTAATTGTTTAGCAAAATTGCATAGAATTTGCAGGTATCTGCCAAATGTCAAATGAACAGCAGTACTGTTTTCTCGGTAAGGGCAGCCTTTCTGTTTCAAAGTGGTTTCAAAAGGATTCACTTAATCCTTAGTCCTAGAAAGTTAATGGCAAGATTTGAATTAGGAACTCATTGGTTCATAGCTTTGGGGGGGGGGATTCTCTCTCTGCCACTTTTTGATCTTTACACAACCTTTTTAATTGCATCCCATGTGAGTTAGCAGTAGTCGGAATCTCATGGAACACAAGCTCTCTGACACTTTCACTGCTTTAGTAACGTGGTCTTTGAAGAAATAAACATACTAAGTAGAAAGTGAATTCAATGAGTTCCTAATTCAAATCTTGCCATTAACTTGATTTTTGAATCTGCAGATAATCCAGACATTTTCTTTGTCGTTCCTTTGAAAGGACAATTTAATTACAATACATGCAATACCTTGCTTCTATTGTAATCACCATCTTTTAAACTGATTTATGAGTGGAGGCATACTGAGGGAGCAGACACTGGGAAGTGAGCAAACACTCTGAACAAAAAGGGAAAAACAAGCACCCAATGAACCATCCCTCCAACAGTCTCTTTACCAGCACTACCCCACAAGAGGTAACCCCACCTGAGATGACACTCTTGCATTCCTCCAACCTTTCCCCACAGTGCCCGTATTTTCAGATCAGGTGAAATATTATTCAGATCAGAGTGAGCTAACCTCCCATATGCTTGCTTCATCCAATCTGTTCCTTCTCCTCTAAGGATTCACCCTCCCCTGCTGAGATGGACATCAGGTGCACCAGGCGAAGGGAAGCAGCTGAGCCATTAATTCATGCAGAGACCACTCACCTTGATCAAGGGAACCACTGATGCAGACATGCCATCAGTGATGGAAAGCAGGGGAACTGTACTGCAATTATTTTTAACAGATCACATAGCCCAAGACACAGCAATAAATAGCAAAACCCAGCTGTACACATATATAGTCATCCCTCACAGCTGAAATTTCTATGAAGTCAGATGATTGAAGCTTAAATTGCTGGTTTTTGACTGACTTTAGAATAAGGATTGTGGAGGAGCAAGAATAACTTTAAAAAACAAGGTGTCCCATTTAAGGTCTTGTGGGGGAAGGGGAAGTGGCTAAGATTGCATTTATTAATGTGTCAGTTGGCAACTTGAGGTTGTTAGCACTCTGAACAAAGCTTTGGAAAGCATTTCAGTATCCACAGCCTGTTGCAAGTGACACCCAGGTTTCCAGAAGATCGTAATCTCCCTTCATGAATCTTTCTAGGTGCCAAGATCTTCAGGTGAGAACCTTATCTTGGTCCCATCAGCATCAGAGGCAGTGTTAATGGTGACACAGAGAGAGCCTTTTCTGGGGCTGCTCCCAGATTGTGGAATTGCCTCCCAAGAGAGGTTATACTGGCTTTCTTAGGACTTTCCTATTCAGAAAGGCCTTTGAAAATCCACTGGGCTCCCATCACGGCAATTGCTGTTTTAATGCTGCTTCTAATGTGTTCTCTTATATTTTATATTATATTATATGGTTACGTGGGAGCCGGTTGAAGTTAAATCCTTTGAAGACAGAGGTCCTCTGGCTGGTTTGGGACGATATGGGATTGAGGGGGCAACTCCCATCTCTTGCGGGGGTGCAATTAGTGCCAGCACCGTCCGTTAAGAGTTTGGGTGTAATCTTCGATACCTCCCTCTCCATGGAGGCGCAGATTGCAGCTATAACAAAGGCGGCATTTTTTCATCTCCGCCAAGCTAAGCAGTTGGCTCCTTACCTCTCTCGCCCTGACCTAGCCACTGTGATCCACGCGACGGTCACCTCCAGACTGGATTATTGTAACTCGCTCTACTGCCCTTGAGACTGACCCAGAAACTCCAGCGGGTGCAGAATGCTGCAGTGAGACTCCTTACGAGGTCTTCGCTGCGAGATCACATTCACCCGGTGCTATATCAGCTGCACTGGCTCCCGGTGGAGTACAGGATCAGGTTTAAGGTGCTGGTTTTAACCTTTAAAGCCCTATACGGCTTAGGACCCTCGTACCTACAGGACCGCCTCTCCTGGTATGCCCCACAGAGGAACTTACGGTCTTCAAATAAAAACATCTTGAAGGTCCCAGGCCACAGAGAAGTTAGGCTGGCCTCAACTAGAGCCAGGGCCTTTTCGGCTGTGGCTCCAATCTGGTGGAACGCTCTGTCACAAGAGACTAGGGCCCTGCGGGACTTGACATCTTTCCGCAGGGCCTGCAAGACAGAGCTGTTCCACCAGGCCTTTGGTCAGGGCACAGCCTGACTCCCTCCTTTGGCAATCTTTACAAAACTTTCGTTTATGGTTGCCATCAATTTGTATTTTAATTAATTTTTATAATGTTTTTATAATGTTGCGCTGTTTTAGTGTTGTTAGCCGCCCTGAGCCCGGCTTCGGCTGGGGAGGGTGGGATATAAATAAAATTTATTATTATTATTATTATTTGACCTGTTACTATTATAACTGTGTTTTTAAAACGTTGTAAGCTGCCTTGAGTCCCAACTTTGGAGAAAGGTGGGATATAAGAACATTAATTAATTAATTAATTAATTAATTAATTAATTAATTACTGTAGCTTTTGTGATTTCTCACTGTTCAGGGAAATGGGGAACATGTGCAACAATATGTATAACCCATTCTCAGGCTTTAATAGACTTATTGTTTCTGTTTTTTGTCTTGATGAAAATTATGTTTTATGTTTATGATTTTTGTCCTGCAAAACGGTAACAGTGAGAAAACAGGCAGCATATCCTGGATGCCAGCCGTTGTTTCTCCACCACAGGAGGAGCAAAAGTGCACTTTGGCCTCTTATTCAAAACATCTGCCTCCTAGAAAACTTTACTAGGAGTCAGAAATTCAGCAGCATTTCTCCTGCCTTTTTTATCAATAAGAAATTAACTTCCACTAATATTTTTCGTTGTCGGATGACTCAGTAATGCAGCAGCTGTGGTGCTGGTGCAAGGAGTCATTTCAGAGTCTAGGCAACAGGCTTGTTGTTGTTGAGTCGTTTAGTCGTGTCCGACTCTTCGTGACCCCCTG